AGAGACCCTCTCAGCAATATATATACATATATATGTATGTATGTATATATGTATGTACTGTTCTAGGAGCTTTCTCTCCTATTTTTTCCCTTTCTGCTCTTCTCTTCTTTCATTCTTCTCTCCTCTACCTGGATAACACTGACCACAGACTAATGCCCTAACCCCAATCAGCCATCTGACACATGCCCTACCTTGGTCATCAGAGGAACTAGGTGAGAAACTGTGACTGCTGTAGTGCTCCTCGTCTTCAAGCCTAAAGACACAACTAGAAAGAGGAAATCTTGCTAATTAATATGTTCATATATAAAAGATATCACCGTGTCATAACATTCCAGAAACTTATCCTGTTACAGCAAACTCCATGTGAGTCTATATTCATTTTCTGACTCAGATTATCTTATAATAAATAATACTTGAAATAAATGAGTGACTGGATTGAGATTAAAAGTGTCATAGTCAAAGAATTTCATTTTTTGTTTCCAATTTTTTAACATTTTTGTTTAAAGTTTTGAGTTCCAAATTCTATTCCTCACTCCCTTCTTTCCTCCCCCCTCTCTGAGACAGTATGCAATCTGATACAGGTTATACATGTGTAATTATGTAAAACATTTCATTTTAGTTATTTTGTACAAGAAGACTCAAAAAAATGAAAGCAAGAAAATGAAAAATAGCATGCTTCAGTCTATATTCAATCAGTATCAGTTCTTTCTCTGGAGGCAGATAGTATGGTTCATCATTAGTCCTTTGGCATTGTCTTGGATCATTGTATTGCTGAGAACAGCTAAGTTATTCACAGTTCTTCGCTAAATAATATTGCTGTTACTATGTACAAGGTTCTCTTGGTTCTGTTCACTTCACTCAATATCAGTTCATGTAAGTCTTTCCAGGTTTTTCTGAAATCATCCTGCTTGTCATTTCTTATAGCACAATAATATTCCATTATAATCATATACCACAGCTTGTTTAACCATTCCCCAATTCATGGGCACCCCTTTAATTTCCAATTCTTAGCACAAAAAAAAGCTGCTATAAACATTTTGTACAAATAGGTTTTTTCCCTTTTTTGGTTGTCTTTGGGATATGGACCTTGAAGTGATATTGTTGGATCAAAGGGTATGCACAGTTTTATAACCCTTTAGGCATCGTTCCAAATTGCTTTCCAGAATGCAGTTCACAACTCCACCAACAGTATATTAGTGTCTCAGTTTTCGCACAACCCCTCCAACATCCAACATTTTCCTTTTTTGTCATATTAGCCACTTTGATACATGTGAAATGGTACCTCAGAGTTGTTTTAATTTTCATTTCTCTAATCAATAGTGATTTAGAGTATTTTTTCATATGACTATAGATATTTTTGATTTGTCTGAAAACTGCCTATTCATATCCTTTGATCATTTATCAACTGGGGAATGACTTGTATTTTTATAAATTTGACTCAGCTCTCCATATATTTAAGAAATGAGGCTTTTATGAGAGATTCTTGTTGCAAAAAATGTTCCCAGTTTTCTGCTTTTTTTATAATTTGTGTTGCATTGGTTTTGTTTGTGGAAAAACTTTTTAATTTTATATAATCAAAATTATCTATTTTACATTTTTAATACTCTCTATATCTTCTTTGGTCCTAAATTCTTCCCTTATCCATAAACCTGACAGATAAATTATTCCATGCTCTCTTAATTTGCTTATGGCATCACCCTTTAGGTTTAAATCATGTACCATTTTGACTGTATCTTGGTATATAGTGTGAGATGTTGGTCTATATCTAGTTTCTGCCATACTGTTTTCCAGTTTTCCCAGCAGTTTTTGTCAAATAATGAATTTTTGTTCCAAAAGCTTAGACCATTGAGTTTATCATATATGAGATTACTATGGTCATTTGTTATAATATTATTTGTACCTAATGTACTCCATTGATTCATCACTCTATTTCTTAGCCAGTACCACATTGTTTTGATAATTACCACTTTATAATACAATTTGAGATCTAGTACAGCTAAACTACTTTCTTTTGCATTTTTTTTCATTAATTCCCTGGATAGTACACCTTTTGTTCTTTCAGATGAATTTTGTTATTATTTTTCTGACTCTAGAAAAAAATTTTAGGTAGTTTGGTATGGCACTGAATAATTTAGGTAGAATTGTCATTTTTATTATATCGGCTGAGTCTACCCATGAGTAATTAATATTTTTCTAGTTGTTTAGATCTGACTTTATTTGTGTGAAAAGTGTTTTATAGCTGTGTATATAGTTCCTGGGTTTGTCTTGGCAGGTAGACTCCCAAGTATTTTATATTGTCTATAGTTATTTTAACAGAATTTCTTTTTCTATCTCTTGCTGCTGGACTTTGCTGGTAATATGTAGAAATGCTGATGATTTCTATGGGCTTATTTTGTGTCCTGCAACTTTGATGAAGTTGTTAATAATTTCAAGTAGTTTTTAGTTGATTCTCTAGGATTTTCTAAGTATAACATCATATCATCTGCTAAAAAAAATCATTTTATTTCCTCATTGCCTATTCTAATTCCTTTAATTTCCTTTTCTTTTCTTATTGCTATAGCTAACATTTCTAGTACAATATTAAATAAGAGGTGATAATGAGCATCCTTGACTCACCCCAATTGTATTGGGAAGGCTTCTAACTTATCTCCATTACAGATAATGTTAACTGATGAGTTTAAATAAATACTACTTATCCTTTTTTTGGTTGGTTTTTTTTTTGGCAATTGGGGTTAAGTAATTTGCCCAGGGTCACACAGCTAATAAATGTCAAGTGTTTGGTCTGAGGTCAGATTTGAACTCAGGTCCTCCTGACTTCAAGGCCAGTGCCCTATTCACTGTGCCACCTAGCTGCCCCTACTTATCATTTTAAGGTAAGCACTATTTATTCCTATGCCTTCTCGTGTTTTTAATAGAAATGGGTGCTGTATTTTGTCATAGGTGTTTTCTGAATCTGTTGAGATAATCATATTATTTCTGTTAATTTTATTATTGATATGGTCAATTATGCTGATAGCTTTCCTAATATTGAACTAGCTCTGCATTCCTGGTATAAATCCCACCTGGTCATAACGTATGATCCTTGCAATATATTGCTGTAATCTCTTTGCTATTATTTTATTTAAAATTTTTGCATCAATATTCATTAGGGAAATTGGTCTATAATTTTCTTTCTCTGTTTTGGCTCTTCCTGGTTTGGGTAGCAGCATCATATTTATGTAGCTAAAGGAATTTGGTAAGACTCCTTCTTTGCCTATTATTCCAAATAGTTTATTTGGTATTGGGATTAATTGTTCTTTAAATGTTTGATAGAATTCACTTATGAATCCATCTGGTCCTGGGGATTTTTTCTTAGGAAGGTCATTGATGATTTGTTCAATTTATTTTTCTAAGAATGGGTAAAGTATTTTATTTCTTCTTCTGTTAACCTGGGTGATTTACGTTTTTGTAGATATTCATCCATTTCATTTAGATTATCAAATGTATTATCATATAATTAGGCAAAATAGCTCCTTGACAATTGTCTTAATTTCCTCTTCATTGGTGGTGAATTCACCTGCTTCATTTCTGATACTCGCAATTTGGTTTTCTTCTTTCCTTTTTTCAATCAAATTAACCAATTGTTTATTTATCTTATTGGGTTTTTTCGTAAAACCAACTTCTAGCTTTGTTTATTAGTTCAATGGTTTTCTTTCAATTTTATTCATCTCTCCTTTGATTTTCAGGATTTCCAATTTGGTGTTTAATTGGGGATTTTAAATTCATTCTTTTTCTAGTTTTTTTTTAGTTGCATGCCCAATTCATTGCTTTTTCTCTATTTTACTGATGTAAGCAATTAGAAATATAAATTTCCCCTAAATACTTAGGCTGCATCCCATAAATTTTGATACGAAAAGAATTCCATCTTAATGGCATTGAGTATGACGGACTCTGACCTGCAGCATAAAAGAGGCCCTGATATATATCCTCTTAGTGTTTAGAAAACAAGTCAGTGAACTATCATTTATTAAGTGCCTGGCTTAACCAGTCATTGTGCTAAGTGATGAGTAGGGAAGACAATTATTTTGGGTGCCTGATAAGCAATGGCCAAAGCACTCAGAAATCCCCTAAGCAAAGGCACAAGTTGAGGCATCCCAATCATTATATCCAGCGTAGACAGCTGCAACTCTTGAAGCAAGGAGAACACAATCCTTCCAAAGATGGGAAAGAGGAACATTAGAAACCATCTGGCAGCCACTCCTTTTCCAGACACAAGTATTGTGCTCCCTCTGTGGCCATTGAAAAAAAAGAATGAAGAAAATGCAAAGTATTATAAGCAGGGATAACTGTGGTGGGCCCTTTACCTCAAAGTGTCTGTCTCACCTACCTTTTAGGTACAGATGCACCTATATAAGCTCACATACAAATACACATACACACACACACACACACCATCTGTCTTCTCCTTTCTGCCCCAAATTCACCAACTCTATACTCCATCAAATGGGTCAAAAAAAAAAAAAAGCAAAGAGGAATGAGGTGACTTCGATCCCTGGCACACTGAGGAAATCTCTACCATAATCTGGCTTAGGCCCTGTCTCTATATGATAGCTGAACCCACCTCAGCACCATATATTGCTATAATACAGATAATTTCCACAGTTTACATGAAGACAATTGGCCTGGGCATGCAGTAATTTGTTTTAGATATTCAGATGCAAGGAAATCTCAGTTCTAATGGCCATGTTCTATTTTCCCTCAGATTGTCTAGCCCCAGTAGAATGCACTGCTATATACCACCTGACCAGCCATTGCTCCCCGAATCTTTCAAAGACCTTGACCATTCATAGGCCCTAACCTACCACCATCCTATAATGTGGGGTTTAGAACAGTGGATAAGGACTAAAGGGAGAGGTAGAAAAATAATCCATCACAACCATGACCTGGCCACCCACTGTGGTCCCTCTGCCCCTCCAGACCATAACTGGAGTGCAAAACAGAAACTCACCACTTTGTCTTCTTTAACCACAAGCTGCTGTGATAAAGAAAGCAAAAACCACAGTGTTAACATTTGACTCAACTGCCCAATCCCGAACTCTAGCTTAGTTCCACCACAGGCAAAAACCTGGGAAGAGATTTTAAATTCTCGAAATAGAATTCATTTTCGTTAATTCTGTGTTATACATCTTATTAGGGAGGGGTTGGAAAGTATCAAATATTTGGGGGAGAAATCTAAGGAGATAAACAACCAAAGGATAATGAAATGCCCTAGAAGTTAAAGGCTGTTTGTTTTTGTTTGTTTTTGTTTTACTGTGTGCTAAGAGAGCAGCCAAGAAGGCCCCAAGGGATTTGGAGTCACTTGGGCAATGGCTTTACTTTTCTAAACTTGATCTTTTCCCTCTGAAAAAAAAAACGTGCAAATAATATATAATATGCAGAGGATGGCTGAGATGGTGAGGAAGGACTGGAAAAACAGGCTGTTAGCTATACTACATGCTGTTACTAGGGTAACCTGGTACCAAACAGAACCCAAGTACTTACCTAATCTGTGTAACATAATCACATTCTCCCATAGAATTCCAAGGGATTTTGTGACTTTTTGGAATTTCTTGAAGACTTCATCAGTCACTACTTTAGTTCTGCCTATAAAAAAGAGGCAGGATCAAAACTTAGAATTGTTTGGCCTTAACTTCCCTACCCTACCCTAAAAGTGAGCATTAGCTCACTTTTTTGGAGCTCACAACCCTGCAAACAATTTCAGAGGTAGTCCCATTCTCCAAAGTGGGGTCTGTCAGGGACTGTAACTGGAGCCAAGAACCTCTTGAAACTGTTGTCGGTCATGTGCTCCAATACACAATGGAGAGTGGAAAGAAGTCATACTAACAGGGCATAATGTAGAGTTTCATGGTGGGACCCTAGGGCAAGGATGAGGGCAGAGGGCTCAAGTGATGAAACTGGAAAGTATAAAGGAAGGGATGAAAGTCCACTTAAACTTAAGGCCCAGTTCTTAGTCTAGTGAGTCATATTCAGAACAAAACAATTATCTAACAGAACATACCATAGAGTTTAACTTGGAAGTCATCCTTGTTTTCACTATTTCCTATGTAAATAATGCCATAGTTTTCATAGTCAGTATCTATCACTTGGAAATAACAAGGGTTTCCATCTGGAAAGGAGAAAAGAGAACTCATCAAAATAATATCCGAATGCCTGCAACAGTCAAGAAGTTAAGTACCCAAAATTGAATGATGTAGAAAGAACACTGAACTGGGAATCATGAAACTTAAACCCTAGTCTTAGTTCCACCATTTATTAGCTGGATGACTGTCACCTGTTCAGGTGGATACAGCACTGGGCCTGTAGTCAGAAAGAACTGAATTCAAATCCAACCTTAGATACTTACTAGCTATGTGACCTTGAGCAAGTCATTAAACTTACGTTTGACTCAGTTTCCTCAACTATAAAATGGGGACAATAATAGCACCCACTTCTCAGAGTTGTTGTGAGGACTAAATGAGATAGTATTTGTAAAACACTTAGCACAATGTCTGGCATATAGTAGGAGCTACATAAATGCAAGCTAATAATATTATTATTATTACATCTTTGAGCCTCAGTTTCTTCATCTATAAAATAGGAAAATTTAATTCTTGTCTTGGGTTCATAAGGTTCATAAGGTTGCCGCAAGTATTAAATAAGGGACAATAATGAGAAATAACCTTGTCAGATATAAAGATCTGTATTTGTTGCCTTCAATAAGCTTGGCTCACAATGCTAATAGGGGAGGGGGTTTACTGGGAAGATAAACCAACTCCAAAATTGGACTTGTTGGCCTGTAATGCTTTCTCATAATGATTGATCTTGATTTTCCCAAGCAGGGTCAAAGTAGGCCCTAATTGTGAAAGAAATGAAATCAGTCTTCAGAATCTCCCACCTTCCCTACTCCCATACCCAAGGACCTAAAACTCTATGGGATGGCAGCATGCCAGGACAGCAGTCCATGAACCTATTGCTCAATCCCACCCCAACCCACACCTTCAAAACTTATCCTTTGCATAAGCCCCTCAGGAACTTGCCAAGTGACTGACTGTCATTCATAACTAAGGTGTTGATTGCTTTTTTCACAGTATACTACTTTTTTCAAAGTATGGTATTATCCTTTTATAAAGGGACTCTTGGAGCCAATAATGCCTAAAGTTAGAGGAATGAATAGTGGTGGGGATTCCAAACCCCAAGGCCATTGGGAAAATATTTGAAGTTTTTACCCACTCACTTTCTGCCTAGCTCTAAGGCTGGCCCTGTTCCTAAAAGTTGAAGTTAAAAATTTCTCTGTGTCTGTGTGTATGCGTGTGTGTTTGTATGTCTATGACTTTGAGTATCTGTACATACCATTCTCTGTGTGTCTGTGAATCTGTGTTTTCTGTGTCTTGGGGTGTGTGTGTGTGTGTGTGTGTGTGTGTGTGTGTGTGTGTGTGTGTG